TTTTTTTTTTTTTTTTTTGGTGCTTCTGGAATCTGTGGATTGATTTTTTTAATCATTTCTAGAAAATTCTCAGCCATAGTGTCTTCAAATGTTGTCTCTATCGTAGTCTTTCTTTCCTATCCTTCTGATTAATTGTATGGTAGAATTTCTTACTCTTTCACCCATATCTTTTAATCTTTTTTCTGTATTTTCTTTCTTTTCTCTCTAGAATTTAATCTTGATAATTTTTTTCTGATCTATCTTTCTGTTCTAAGTCTCTCTTTTACTCTTGTCTAGTAAACTACTAACCTGTCCACTGAGGGTTTTTTTTTTAACTTCTTTTCTGAAATGATAACAGAATCACAGAATATTGCAAAAATAGTACAAAGATGTCCCATGTACCCTTTATGCAGAATACTGATTTACCAAAGGTTATACAGCTAGTAAGAGCAGGACTGACACCAAGTAGAATTCATGTCCTCTGACTCACCATACTGTACTGTTCAAAAGATTATGAACTTATAGTCGTAACTGAGTAAACAAAGGTAATTGGTTACAATGTAAGAGTATTCCAAATGAACACCAGATACAGAGTGCTGTACCTAATGAAACTTTGGTCCTGATGTATTGTACCTAGTCTAGCGAAGTGGTATAATAGCATGGGTTGTCAGCTACACACACACACACGTGTGTCATACATTTATGTATTTGTGTGTGTATATGTATATATAAAAGGAGCCCTGGTGGTGCAGTGGTTAAGCGCTTGGCTGCTAACTGAAAGGTCAGCTCTTCAAACCCACTGGTGGCTCCTTAGGAGAAAAGACCCGGCGATCTGTTCACATAAAGATTTCAACCTAGGAAACCCTAGGGGGCAGTTCTACTCCATCATATGGGATTGCTGTGAGTTGGAATTGACTTGACAGCACCCAGCAACAACAATGCGTGTATTGTTTTTTTCACTTGTCTGAACAGTTTCAGTGAAGCCCATGTAACTAGGTTTGTAATATTCTGTTCATATCTAAGAGAATACTAATATAAAAGGCAACTGGAGAATTGTACGTTGGTGTACATTTTCATTTTTGCTGTCTAAGAAGTTTATTATATTTTTTGGATAGTGGTTATCTTATATTCTTCCCAATTCAAAAAGAAAGGAATAATAGTGCCCAGTAGTTAAATCATTAATATCACATGCAAGTAAAATTTTGCTACAGGTAATTCAAAAACAGTTGCAACAGTACATAACAGGGGACTGCCAGAAATTCAAGCTGGATTCAGAAGAGGATGTGGAATGAGGGATATCATTGCTGATGTCAGATGGATCTTGACTGAAAGCAGAGAATACCAGAAAGATGTTTACCTGTGTTTTATTGACTATGCTAAGGCATTTGACTGTGTGGATCATAACAAATTATGGATAACATTGCAAAGAATGGGAACTCCAGAACACTTAATTGTGCTCATGCAGAACCTGTACGTAGACCAAGAGGCAGTTCAAACAGAACAAGGGGATACTGAATGGTTTAAAGTCAGAAAAGGTGTGCATCAGGGTTGTATCCTTTCACCATACTTAACTCAATCTGTATGCTGAGCAAATAATCCAAGAAGCGGGACTATATGAAGAAGAACAGGGCATTAGGACTGGAGGAAGACTCATTAACAACCTGTGATATGTAGATGACACAGCCTTGCTTGCTGAAAGTGAAGAGGACTTGTAGCACTTACTGATGAAGATCAGTGACTGTAGCCTCCAGTATGGATTGCACATCAACATAAAGCAAAAATCCTCACAACTGGACCAATAAGCA